GGGGTTATAATTTGCATGGATTATGCACCGCGCCGTGAGTCAGGTAAGATGGACCTTGAAGAACTGTAACCTCTGTGTATGGCAAAATATACCATTCATCAGAACTGAATAATTTGTAAACAGTATCTGTCTTCCTCTGTTATGATTGTCATGCATACAAATCGCAATCCTTTGTGGATTTCAAGAATCGCCACAAAGAAACTTAGTGTAACGAAAAATTTCATCTTGAAGAAAGAAAAACACTTTATATTTCGCATGTGTTAATTCTGTGGGATATGTTTTGTATATGAGCTTTTGAAGCATCCAGTTTGACCAAAATGAGGAGAGAACTCTCAGCAACGTGACATTGATGAGTTGACTACAGAAGTGGGTGATTTTTCCAATATTTAAAAATACTGACAGACAAACAGGATTGGTAAAATAGGATTTAGAGTTTATCTACATTTCGTAAAAGTCTCATGCAGGTCTCTCGGCCGAGACCTGCTTGTTAAGGGAAGCTATTTGGTATGCGAGGTCGACTTGGTCAAGGACCCGTGCACTTTGTCATTATTCATCACAAGTAGAAATGCTAATAAGATTACATAATAAGCATTTGTCTCAGCTTCATTGTTTTGCAACGGTATTTTATGGGTTACCAAAAGATCAAAGAAGAAAGGTTAGAGACGTGATTGAAATCTTAGGGGTAAAGAACGGAAAGAGACTTTTGGAACCTACAGTGATTCAAGTTTTAAAAAACTTGAATCAGTAAACTTGAATCAGTTTAAATGTCACCAATGTCACGTTGCTGAGAGTTCTCTCCTCATTTTGGTCAAACTGGATGCTTCAAAAGCTCATATACAAAACATATCCCACGTTTTTACAATGTTACAAAATATGCCTATTTTTCAATTTTTGAGACGTTGGTACGGTCCCTACGGACTGGGAAATAATTATGGCCCGTAATGCAGTCAGAAAATTATTTCGAATCAAACCAAATCTAATTTAGTTCTTTCCTACGTTAAGTCTTTCTGTTAAGAGAGTTTCAGGCAAAATTATTTTTGACGCAAAATTGACCAGGTGGAAATAAGGGAGACAGCCTCTTAAGGTGGTGCTTGTGCGTCCAAATTCATCAACTAGTAACAGCTCGATAAAAAAGAACGAGCCTGCTGACTACTCATCATTAACGCTTCTAAATCAACGAAGTATGTCCTTTATTAAAACTGAGTTTAAGCCTTGTGTCACGGAATTCAGCAGAATTTCTCGACATTTGGCCTGGTTAGACTGAAGCCGCAACTTTGAGTGTGATTGATGTTTTTGACGGTTTTTTTCCTTGTAATACAATTAGAATTCAACGCAAACACACGGGCAGAAACTGTACATAACTTACGTCATTGCAACCATGAAAGCACAGGCTTCAAATTTAACATATTATACCCTAGGATGGCTAATAAAATAGCCGCCGTTCAAGCGAGTTAACGTTACAAACTAGCGATCGTTTATCCGGCCGAATCCTAAGGGATCGTAACGTATGATCGTGACTTTAGCTTTTCCAAACATGAATTTCCATCTGGGATGTCCTGATCATGTTTATCTAGGAACCCCTGCAACGCATCAGCAAACTTGCCATTTGAATTCATCTCAAAGGTTGAGTCAATTTGGCGAGTCAACGTGTTGGTGATTCAACGTGTTCATCGCCCTGAAAGGGTCTTTACTCTTTTAGGGCCACTTGCGAGTTCGAGATATGGGCATTCCAAAAGGCCAGACTTTTGTCGTTATCGGTGGAGGAGTGGGTGGCTGTTGCACGGCTCTTGCATTAGCAAGACCACAACAATTTCAAGTTTATCTCTTGGAGAAAAATGGAGAGTTGATGAGAGAAAGCAGTGATGTAACTCCGAGACGCATGGGGCTTGGTTTTCATTACGCTGACAAGGAGACAGCCCTCTACTATTTACACGCCACCCTCGAGTTCACCCGAAAGTACGGTCGATTCCGACAAGAGGTAGGTCGAAGTGAAACGTTACATCCGCTGCGTCGAGGCAGATACTTTATCTTGAAAAGTTCATTGGTTCCTGTCAATGAGATTCTAGATACTTATGACGTACTCAAAGAAGAGTATACCAATATGGTCAGCGAAGACACCAATTACAAATAGGAATCGAAACCGCGGAGGAGTTACTGGATTGGTCAAGGTTGAGGAGATTTATTTTAAGTCAGCTGGAACACTTTCAAGACAAGAAAATGGTTGAAATTAGAACAAACACTGAAGTCACTGAGATTTCAGCGCTCGACGATTGTGGCGTATATTTTATTGAAGCCGTAGATTTGTCAGCTGGTGGGAACGTAGAGATTTTCGCCGAGGTACAACATTGGCAAATTCAACAATTTTTCAAACAATTTGTTCGTAGTGAAAGAGCGAGCGAAGTTTAAATTTCAGTTTTACAACAAATATACGCTTTCGGTGAGTCTTTCTAAGTCCGTTCAATTTGGACATTTGTACCGTAAATTGCACAACAGAAACTAAAGGAATTCAATGAGAAAAGGCCGCATTAAATCTCCTTGTGTCTCGTCAGAGTGTATCATTCGAATTTAGTTTTTATGGAGGAAAGACTGGATTAACACACGCCATTGCAGCAAACAAACGAGCAAACTCTCACAACTTTAAAATAAGAAATTTTAGTTTACTTACAATTACTTTCCTTAAATCTTCGTACACGAATTAATCGTCGATGAGAGTGAATAATACTTTCCGTTAGATCACTGACTGTTTTTGAAGAAAACATTGTCGTGACAGTCCTTGCCAAACCAGTTTCGTTGTTTTACAAAAGTGTACGTGCGATTTTTCTTTTCTTACGCACTCTCTAATTGATAGGTGTCAGATTGTGACAGATACTTGTGAAAATAATGTTTCAAAGTTTGTTTGGAAGCTTTTTAAATCACCTTTATCATTACGCAAATGAAAATGTTTCGGTGAAGCATCACTCTTTAATTTGCATCACCTTTATTTTAACTACCATTTACTCGCTCAAAAATCGTTCAGTTTATAGAGGATCTTGCTGTATTTTCAGCCCTGCATCATTCGGGTTCTTTCGGAAAGAATTTCGTTAAGTTTTAAAAAAATAAATATGTTACTTACTAGCTAAGGGTCGGTCCGTATGGTGAAAAACTGTGACCTTGGTCTTGAAAGACCTCGGTCACAGTTTTTCACCATACGGACCTCCCAGCCAGCAAGTAACAATTCCTAAATTGAAACAAGCCAACGTGACAAAGGTAAAGCTTGGCATTATCCAAACATTCATGGATGAAGATGCAATAGATTTCGGTTTCAAAGTGGGAAACTTGGATTTGTTGCACGATCCACATGTTGGAGGTATTTACAAGAGAAATTACAGCGGAGTGGAGGAACCTCGGCCAGGATATATAATCAATGCATCTATGGAGCTATTGTATTGTTTTGATAATGCCGAGATTGTAAAGGACCTGATTTTATCGAAATCTGCAGAAGGTTCTCGTAATTAAGGGTGACACGTTGGTTTAAAATGCTAAAACGTGACCTCTTTAAAATGCCTTCAAAGTGCGCCAGAATTAGTTTTATTCTTTTTCCGGTTGCCGTCCGCCTTTCAAAGAAATCTCTGATCGAAATGCTTAGTATTGGACATTATATACGCGAGATTTGTGCGCTCTGTTTGGCTAATTTTATCGTAGTACAAATCAAATGTTTTTATGTACGAATACATTTATCGCAGACTGGGCTGGTCAGTCTTAACAGGCCGCATCCATTTGAGTATTTTATGTTTGCACATGATTTTCGGCCGTCAATAGCCAACCATCGCCATAAACTTAAACCATTGCTTGCAAAGCTAAATAGTATTAAGTATTCTTTCTTTGTAAATATTGTAAAATATCTATCTAAAGACGTCGCGGAGGCTTGAACATTTTCAAGAACAGACTCTGATGCTATTTGACTAATGTTTTAGGAAATTTCTGAACTATTTTATTGTGAATTTTATTCACGATCCACGTTTTTGATTATTTACAAGAGAAAAACTTGAGTGGAGGAACCTAACAGGATATATAATCAATGCATCTATGGAGCTATTGTATTGTTTTGATAACGCCGAGATTGTAAAGGACCTGATTTTATCGAAATCTGTAGAAGGTTCTCGTAATTAAGGGTGACACGTTGGTTTAAAATGCTAAAACGTGACCTCTTTAAAATGCCTTCAAAGTGCGCCAGAATTAGTTTTATTCTTTTTCCGGTTGCCGTCCGCCTTTCAAAGAAATCTCTGATCGAAATGCTTAGTATTGGACATTATATACGCGAGATTTGTGCGCTCTGTTTGGCTAATTTTATCGTAGTACAAATCAAATGTTTTTATGTACGAATACATTTATCGCAGACTGGGCTGGTCAGTCTTAACAGGCCGCATCCATTTGAGTATTTTATGTTTGCACATGATTTTCGGCCGTCAATAGCCAACCATCGCCATAAACTTAAACCATTGCTTGCAAAGCTAAATAGTATTAAGTATTCTTTCTTTGTAAATATTGTAAAATATCTATCTAAAGACGTCGCGGAGGCTTGAACATTTTCAAGAACAGACTCTGATGCTATTTGACTAATGTTTTAGGAAATTTCTGAACTATTTTATTGTGAATTTTATTCAAGAGCAAGTTTGCGTTTTTGATTATTTAGGAGAAAAACTTGAAAGGGATAACGTCTTTTGTTTCCTTTTCATCTTTCATTTGACTTTGAATTGTAAATAAACTGTTATGTAAACTAGACTACTTTCGACTCTCTTTGCCATCACCAACCCTTTAACTCCCATGAGTGACCAAGACAGAATTTCTCCTTACAATATCAATGTAATATCAACTGGATAAGTGATGAGAATAAAGAAAGAAAGGATATTCGATTTCTATAGAAGGTACGCATGCCTCATTGTTCGACCCCAATCTTCTCCTTTCCAAGGCACGGCTTTCCATAAGGTCTCGTGACATGAGCGAACCTAATTTTATGATCATCGCTCTCAATCAGATCATTGCTGTACGTGGTGAAGCTGGTGAACATAGCAAAGCGTGGTGAGTACATAACATTGTTCTTTAGATGAGGACAGTTACATTGAGTTATTATTTGGACCAAAGGTTCAGTGACGTAGTAATAACATTTCAGCTGAATCTATGAGATGTGGTGAAAATAAAGCCGAAATTTTGTCCGTGAAGATATTAAGCAACTGAAAAAGAAATGAAGCAAACAACATCCAAAATGGAGAAGGCAGCTGCTTATAAATTCGTAGATAGGAGCACGGGCTGGGTCTGTAACTAAGACTAAGTGCCTAATATCTGCAGACGGATATTTTCCCATGGTGTGTTAAAATTTAGCAGGGAGAATCTTCATCTTGTTTATGCGTTAAAGACATATTTTAGACACGTTACTAAGGTTTGGGATTGCAGAAAAACGCTATTATTCCAAATTGTGACTTACAGAAGCAATTTATTAGGATTTTAAGCGTTTCGGTACCTTTTTTTCTATCCTGAATTTTAGGCAACAGCTTCGAGCATCTGAGATTTGAAGGTCGATAAAGGGGAGGAAAATGAAACAACTGGGTGCTTTTCAGTCTCATGTCCACTATCGATGATAACACGCGCAATATTAAACAGAAAAACAATTCCTCGACAATTCCTCGCCCACACTCCTTTAAATCGTGACGATGGCGGTTTGCTTCTTGACGCCTATTTACACCTTGTCAGAAAAAAAAAAAAAAGGCCGCTAGTGGTCATATAAAAGGACCTCTTGTTGCAGCGTTTAGATCACCCCTGATGAAGGCACTAGACAGGAGTGTCGAAACGTTGCGTCTATGAATTGTAAGTTCTTCGGTTACATTCATTAAATCTGCAAACCAGAGTAGCATCAAACTATGTCTAATTCCTCGATTGTTCAGTTTGTGTTAAGTTGTAAACTGGCTTTTCAATTCGGGAATCTCACCATCCAAGCAACCTTCCCAGAGTCGGATATAAAACTTTTGTTTGTTAATGGTAAGAAAAATGACAAGGAAATGTTACACGCCTTAGTCGTATTAGGTATATAAATTACCCAAAGCACATTTTGGCGTGATAAGGGCTCATTTGAAGGAAATGATGTCGCTTTTCAGACCAAATGATTACACCAGATAAGACTTTGAAAGCGTTGTTTAAAATTGATGTTACTTTAACTTTAGGAGCTTCTCGACAATTACCCATAGTAGTGTGCGACTATTAATAATGGATTTGAGGGCGAAATAAAGAAAGAGGAGAGTGTTCATTAGAAGTCTGAAACAATTACGATATAAACGGCTGCTTTGACCGAGTTCTCAATGAAAAACGTTGACAAAGCTTTGCTAATTTCATATTTCGAAATTTAATTGCGTTTTTACCCTCGTCATGAACAGTCTTAGATAGAAACCGAAATTTTTATGCAAAAACATCCTGTGTTGCGTCAAATATATATTAATTAAATTTTGAACTCCGGATATTGTATTTCTGGCGTTCTGACTAGTTTCCTTGACTCCAGTTATCAGCTCATATACCGAATCACCTTATAAGGAAAAAGATTCAACCAATTTTTGATAAGCTGGATTTAATTTTGGCTGAAAGCAAACATTTCTGCCGTGCATTGGAAAACAAATACTAGTCAATGTAATCGTGATGACAAAAGAAAAGCCAGAAAGAATGATGTTATACCACTAAATGGTACGTATCTTCAAAGTTTCACATAAAAATTTTTCACTTTGGTCTAGAAAAGATATAACGTCGCCACAACAGAAATAAAAGCCGGTTACCTTTAACCTTTTAGGATGATTACAAAGTTTGCGCCGAAATTTCTTCGCACTACTAGGACCTTAGTTACAAAAGCTCATCTCTTGAAATCCGCTCAAGTATCCATAATAATGGTTTCTTCCATTCGCCACCGGACTGTTAAATATTTTTAATGTGCACAAAGCTTCAGGATAATTCAGGTTTGATACATTTAGCAGAATACCTGTCATAATAAGTTTGTAAACCCAGAGCGAGAAATCGAGTCAAGGATATTTATACGAAATTTTTCTTCGACCTCTTACTTTGTTCGGTTCTAGTTTGACGAAACCCTTGAAAGAATTGTAAGAATTTTTTTCGCGTGTAGCATGGTAAGGCGTTACTCGTGCTATCCCAAATTTTCCGCTTGATTATGCGATGTTAGCTCCTACAATTTTCTTTTTTCTCGATGAAAAACAGTGAAACATTTGAACTAACCTCTTCCTCAGACTAGGTCTCCAATTCTGCTTTCATCAATTTTTTTATTTTAGAATCACTTCAAATAAAAGAAATGAAATGTTATGGTATGAAAGATCTAAGTTGTGAATGAGTGTAGAAACAAACTAAACCGTCATAATTGATAAATTTGAGTTACAGGTCAAATGATTTTTTTAAAAATACACACTTCTTAAAACACTTCACAGACAGATATCCAAATGCACAGGAGGATAGCACGAGCCTTTGTAAATCTAGGGTATAAAGAAGATGAGCTGCCCATACATCTTGAATCAGTTGAGGAAAATGATGACGAGCAGAATCACACCGAAACGGAAGATGACCCAAGGATCTCTCAAGAAGATCTAGAACGCATCAAACCAAGCAAGCAACGGTCCAATTATCGTCTATTGTGGCTGGCCATTATCACGTGTTTAATTTTGACGGTTTCCCTTCTCGTGGGTCTGCTGATAATTTCTGAAAAAATTGGTCGCAGGTGTGGATGCTCTGAACAAAATGGTTAGGTTTTATTCAAGTTTTTCTCCTTTTTTATTGAAATTTCCTTATATCTTAATTTAAGACCCAGTTACAAAACTTAAATTGTTTGATTGTGTGTTTTGTTTACTTTAATCGTGTCTCCTGCGACGGACTGATTTCTATTTCAGGGGCCCAACACCATAAAAATCAGCTGACTAAGAAGGATTTCCTAGGGGAGAATGAGACAAGCATTTCTGATTTGGTAAGGGACGTAAGAGAGAATAACCAATACGAAAAAGCTCCCTAATATTCTGAAGTAATTAAAAAACCGAGGGGGCATAGTCAGAGTAGGTTACGTTCATCCCAGGACACTTTTTCCCCTTCCCCTAAACAGAAACACCCCTGGAACTAGCTAACCAAAGTGCTTACCTGCAATAAGAAATACAATAACTGTTCAGGTGAATATACAATATTTGGATATTTTTATTGAATTTCAAGATTAATGCCCACAATTGTCCTTAAATCAGACATTGAAGTCTACATCGGATAAAGGAAATGATGACCTCACTGGGGTAAAAGCACTATAACAAGGGTAATATTATCTGTAAGCCTGTGCTTTCTTTGCTGAGAAATGTGTTCGACTTCTTTGAAACGTGTGTCCATCTTGTAACAAATGTCGGTTATTTTTTCCGATGACATTTTTAACGAACCGCTTCCCATTTTAGGGTAATTTAGTATTATCACCTGAGTTGATAACGTAAATTGACCACCGTAAAAGAGTTTAAAAGCTGACGTTTCGAGCGTTAGCCCTTCGCAAATCGTTCTAACGAACTTAGCCAACTTACATTATCAACCCAGTTGATAATACTAAATTACCCTGTTATACTCTCCCACCGACGCAGCACCACAGTTTCTTTAGAAACTTACCCCTTTATTCATTTATCCACCATGATAGCTTGAATACCTCAGCTCTACTATGATCAAAGTGGAGGCCGCAGTGGATGAAACAAAGAATGACATCGCCAAATTGAACAGAACGACATCAACGGTAAAGATTTTACTGTTGCCTAGTTAAGGATTCTAAAAAATGTCATTTGGTAATTACTCACTATATAGATTACAATATTTGTGGCTGTACCCTAAGAACGAGTGTCGAATTATTCTAAAATCAATTATTAGAAATAGGGCCGGAAACTCTTAAAATGTGTAAGCTTCTACCTGAAGGAAAAAACTGATAATGCCGAAAGACGTTAAGTGTATCTTCACGTTAGGTTGAAAATCTCAACTCTTCGATGAACGAGGTGAAGGCCGCAGTGGATGGAGCAAAGAATGATATCGCCAAACTGAACAAAACGACAACAATGGTAAAGATTTTACCGTTTCTTAGTTAAGGATTCTAAAAAATATTATTTGATAATTACTCACATGGAGTAAGTAGCGAGTAGCCAGTTAGATTACAACATTTGTAGCAATACCCTAACAACGAGTGTGGAATTATTCTAAAATCAATTATTAGAAATAGGGCCGGAAACTGTTAAAAAGTGCAAGCTTCTACCTGAAGGAAAAAACTGATAATGCCGAAAGAAGTTAAGTGTATCTTCACGTTAGGTTGAAAATCTCAATTCTTCGATGAACGAGGTGAAGGCCGCAGTGGATGGAGCAAAGAATGATATCGCCAAACTAAACAGAACGACAACAACGGTAAAGATTTTACAGTTTCTTAGTTAAGGATTCTAAAAAATGTCATTTGATAATTACGCACTATCTATCATGGAGTAAGTAGCGAGTAGCCAGTCAGATTACAACATTTGTAGCAGTACCCTAGGAACCAGTGTGGAATTATTCTAAAATCAATTATTAGAAATAGGGCCGGAAACTCTTAAAAAGTGCAAGCTTCTATCTGAAGGAAAAAAACCGATAATGCCGAAAGAAGTTAAATATTGTATCTTTATCTTCACGTTAGGTTGAAAATCTCAATTCTGCGATGAACGAGGTGAAAGCCGCAGTGGATGGAACAAAGAATGACATCGCCAAACTGAACAGAACGACAACAATGGTAAAGATTTTACAGTTTCTTAGTTAAGGATTCTAAAAAATGTCATTTGGTAATTACTCACTCTCTATTACGGAGTAAGTAGCGAGTAGCCAGTCAGATTACAAGGATCAGAGCTTAACAGCACCGTAATCAAGGTAAAATTGAGTCCACACATGTATGAAGACTTCGAATGACCAGACAAGTTCATTCTAGCTACGTTCCTGTTTAAAAGCTGTGAATGCATTTATCACTTAACTTGTAAATCTTTATTCGTGCTCTAACCAGGTAAAGCCTACATTGGACAGAACAAGCAAAGATATAACAGACCTGAAAAGTAGAGTGACAAAGGTAAACGTTTGTGTAATGTTTGCACTTGTGACATAGCAAATGAGAAGCTAGAATTTTCTTTGTCCGTTTTGTCTGCTTGCAGTACTTTGATAATACTCCCACAGATTAAGTTATTGAAGTTTGTTACTAAATCCTAAATTTACAGCAGTTGTAAAAATCTAGCGTTTCTATTTACTTTTCTCGTCACGTGTCTTTAGTTTTTACTATTTATAATTTTCCACTGTTTGGACATCGGTCATTTTCTAAATTTCTATTTTGCATTTAGTTATTCTCAGTTTTATTTCTTTCATATCCCGCTGCATTCATTCGCACACAAATCCGCGCATGTACTAAAAATCCTTTCGTCTGATCACTGTGATGCATCCTCTTAATCCAACATTTTGCGCTCACGATAACTTTGATACTTATATCTCCTGGCAAGTTAAGCCACATTTTCCTTTATATATAAGTTATAACGTTAATAGAGGTCCCATTTTAATTTGGATACCGCTCTTCCTACTCTAACCAAGTGAAGTCTAAGTCAGATAGAACCAGCGATGATGTCTCGGTGCTGAACTGTACAGTGACAAAGGTAAACATCGTCATCGAGTAAGATCATCAGTGACACGCTTGGATGCTCCCGGTGTGCCACTCTTTTTTCTCATCGTATCTTCACATTATATATTATGCATCATTGAACATACGCATGACTACAGTGAGCCTATTTGTCAAACATAAGCAGGGACGTTATCGAGCCACCGATAATATGGCATCCATAGGGTTAATCGTTAGCCGTAAAACGGCCAACAAATTTAGCTGTTGTTGACTGCAAAATTTTGTTGACTCTTTTGTACTTTCCGGAGCAGCATCTCAAATCAACTTTTTTATATCACTACCACTCGATTCTATGAAGCAAGTTCGTTTTCTACTATGTAAAGTAATAAAGCTCCTACCTTAAGGAAAAAAACTGATAATGCCGAAAGAAGTTAAATATTGAAGATTTTAGATATATGAAAATTTCACATATTTGCACTGCGGTGGAAAGATGAAATTAGGAGATCCTCGCAGCTATGAACACTACTGAAACGAGTAGTTGTAAATAGGACCTGAAAAAAATTCAGGCCCGTACGGGATTTGAACCCATGACCTCTGCGATACCGGTGCAGCGCTCTACCAATTGAGCTAACAAGCCAACTGGGAGCTGGTCAATGAATTGGGTACAAATAAACATCCAAGTGAATGAAGATTTTAGATATATGAAAATTTCACAATATTTGCACTGCGGTGGAAAGATGAAATTAGGAGATCCTCGCAGCTAAGAACACTACTGAAACGAGTAGTTGTAAATAGGACCTGAAAAAAATTCAGGCCCGTACGCAGATCCTCCTCCCTGGCTACCGTTTGGACATCGGTCATTTTCTAAATTTCCATTTTGCATTTAGTTATTCTCAGTTTTATTTCTTTCATATCCCACTGCATTCATTCGCACACAAATCCGCGCATGTACTAAAAATCCTTTCGTCTGATCACTGTGATGCATCCTCCTAATCCAACATTTTGCGCTCACGATAACTTTGATACTTATATCTCCTGGCCATTAAGCCACACTTTCCTTTCTACGAAGCAAGTTCGTTTTCCACTATGTAAAGTAATAAAGATAAAAAGTGAAAGTCTTAAGCTGGCTTTTTTCCGCTGTCTTTGTTTCCTTTCGACGGAAATAATCGAAGAACAAATAGCGACGTAACTGGAGGCTATTGCGTGATAACTTTCCGGTAATCTTGTGCCACGTGACGTAAGGCAACCGATAGAGTCACTCGAAAATTAACGAGTGGATTATAATGTTTAATATGAATTATTTAAAAAATGTAATTACAATAATGGCGATCTTATAATACCTTTTCCCTCAGCTCGACAAAGCTATTCAAAGTAACTTAAGCGAGTCTTGCCAGAATGTGACCTGGAACTCAGCCTTCGAGGACTGCAAATTGAAATGTTGCTGTTCAGCCAATTTTTGCGAAGAAACACGTAAGTTTTCTTGAAATTCATAACTGGTCTTAATATCTTTATATCAAGGAGTGTGCATGTACAGCGATTCTCAAAAAATGTTTTTACTTTGCAAGCAAGATGTTCAGCTAGTAGGGACTGGTCGTATTGATCTCCCGCAGGGCAAAAAAAAAAGGGTCGAAAGGGTTTTGTTTGTGACACCATAAAATTTACATGAACCCCCTGAGGTAAAGTCTGTGGCCTAATTTCCCACTTTGGCGGAGCTCATTCCGGTTTTTATGTTGCAGGAAGCGACTAGGAGTATTATCACTCCCCCCAGGATGGGATGCTAATCCATCAAAAGGTTACCGCCCCAGCATTTCATCAGGCTTCCCCAACAATTCTCCGGTACCCATTTATACTCCTGCGAGGAGAGGGACAGTACCCATTTATACTCCTGGGTGGAGAGAGACACTGTGAAAGTAAATTATTTTACCCAAGAACACAACAGAATGACCCAACTAGGTCTCGAACCCAGACCTCCTCGTCCCGGAATCCATTGCACTAACCATTACGCCACTGCGACTAAAGCTTTTCCTTTATATACATTTTATAGTGAGTTTGAGGACAAAAGCTTTCTTAAGAGATAAACTAGTTTTTTAGTACGATAGTGTATTATCATTGTTCTCACACTTAAGTCACTTTCCATATGGATCGTGAGTTTTTCGCTGCTAGTCTTCTTCAGGGTAGGGCGGCAAGAAACCTCTCTTGGGTAAAATGGGAGGGAAGTTGAACAATCTAATTCTTACTCTCTGATTTCTTTTTCAAATTCAAGCCCCAGCCACTGAAAGTTGTAAGGAGCTGTTCAACACAAATGGGTAAGTTCTTTCCATCCAGCAGAACGCATATTACAATAAATTGCAACTTAGAGAATGTGCTTTGCTGGTCGCCCAAGCTGCATTGGATTCGACTTTCGCTGCAGGTTATAGAGACTCCGACTCATGTACCTCTTCTTTCGAGAATTGATTATATTCATTGTTTGTTATTTTCCTCACTTTTCAGACCTAATGCGAACAAGGCTTACCCTCTGAAGCTGGGGAAAACGATCGTTCCAGTTTACTGTCACATGACAACACTTGATGGATGTGGGGGTGGTGGTTGGACTCTGGTGATGAAGATGGATGGTTCAAAGGTAAACATAAAACAATACTCATAAAATGTTCAAAAAGATAGTTTCCTCTCTTCTTTAAATTATTAAAATGGTTCATAAAAATTCTTCTTCAGAAGTGTTTATTCGAATTTCGCAAATCTAAATCTATCATTTTTGCAAAAAAGGGTGAAAACATTTTAAAATCAATTTAGTTCACATGTTCTATCCTTTTTCAATGTAGACGACAAAGCAGTTATTATACTTTAAAAGGTATAAATCACAGGCTTCAATTAAACAAAAACTTGTACAGCAGACTCCAGATAATTGCAACCTCCAATTGGAATTAGAGAGGCTCGGGTTGAGGGCCGAGATTTTGGAGGTAGTAACTGAGATCAAAATGGGAAAGGCCCGTTGTTTATTGTGTTTCTATTCATGCATTCGAATTTCACTGTGGTACAAAGATGTTGAACGAAAATGAGACGTTTTGATTTGTTTCATTAATTAGGACACCTTTCATTACAATCAATTAATTTGGTCCAACAAGCTAGTATACAACCCTTTTGCTGGCTCGACTGGGTTTGACGGGCATGAGACAATGTTACCAACATACTGGGAAACGAAATTCAACAGGATCTGTCTCGGTATGAAAAGCGGCAACAAAGTCAACTTCATCGCCATCAACATGACAGCTTACTCCTTGTACTCTCTGATCGCTGATGGGAAATACCGCCAAACCTCACTAAACCGAGACAAATGGAAGTCACTGCTTCCTTCAAGAGCCTCACTACAATCAAACTGCAACCGGGAAGGATTTAACGCATTCTGTACAGCTTTTGGTGCCCAACAACCCAAGGCTCGAATCGGTATCCTTGCTAACGAGCAGAATACCTGCCACAGCTGTGATTCCAGGATCGGTTTTGGTACTGGGGGTCATCCTGACTACTCGAACTCGTGTGGAAATGTGGCAGTGCACCAAGCCGATAATGGGGATAAAAACATCAAAACTATGGGCTACATTCTTGTTCAATAATGAAGAAGTAATAGCCCCTACTTGGTTCCAGAAGGAGCGAACAGTTTTTTATCAAAAGCAAAGCATAAGAAAGACTGTGATTCTTAAGTAATGTCTAAGGACAAATTAATAAGCAAATTTTTTGTCTTTTGTCTTTTGTCTGAATGGATGTTTGTGTACTTATCATCCCTAAATTGTTTTATGTAGCGCGAAAAACAATACGTTTCCAGAGTCTACCATCAAAGCCATTGACAACGTAGAATTTTGACCTTAATAGAATTGTTTGGTCCGACTTTTTCATGCTCATGAAATAAATGTTAAGTGAAGATTGTCATGACGCATAGCGTACGTGTAAGCTGTAAAAATTGGTGGACACCATTAGGGAAAGACCACCAGTAATATTCTTTCAGAGAGTTCCGTTCGTACGATATGGCCCAATGTGTCATGTGACCTTGTTGCCTCAACTTGTACTGGGGAATACCTGGTGTTATTGTATAACTGGAATATAATGTCGATCCACCTTTGTAATTTTTAAACTCCTCTATTTTCGAAATACTTGTATGTCGTCTCTTTTATTTGTACAAAATGCCCATTAAAAATAAGTAGGTTGTGTGTTCGTGCGTCTCTCCCGCAGAACGTTTTACAAGCTTAACTTAGTTGCAAATAAATTACTTGGAACCAACATAATGACCAGCTCAGTTGGTAGAGCACTGCACCGGTACCGCAAAGGTCATGGGTTCAAATCCCGTACAGTCCTGAATTTTTTCCACTACTGCGAAGTCACGTCTCTATCCTCAGTTCACGTATGTGATTTTCATATATTCACGTCAATCATTAATCACTTCACGGGTTTATTTGGAACCAACATGATAATCAGCTCCCAATTGTTAGCTCATTTGGTAGAGCACTGCACCGGTATCGCAGAGGTCAGGAGTTCTAAAAACGTACAGGCCTTACTTTCACTACTGTTCAAATAGTGTTTATTACTGCGAAGGTTGCTTTCATATTAACTGCTATCATTGAGCAGATATCTGGTACCACTAGCCGTAAGGTAAGCCTTTCAAGTGGACAATTTATATTGAGCGAACCATAACTCTGGCCTTTAAAATAAAGCTACCTCGAACTTGACAACTATATACCACTTTCCCCTCCTGCCCTTGTAGTTTTTACGAACGATTGGCTTCTTACGAGAACCAGATTGGAATTTTCATGTCGGTATTATTGCCATCCCAAGCAAATAGCATATTTCAGGTTCTGCGATATCAAATTTCATATTTTGCTATGGTTAAATAATGATCAATGACACGACTGGAAACTAATCCTGATTTTGTTTATCGCCCATTAGTGACCGAGACAAAAAAATTACAGGAACTATTTGAAGGCGAAACTTTAGACGCAAATTCGCTGAATTGAAATCGTTACAACCCATTGTTTTCTTCATGAACTTAATATCATCTGATGTGAAACTTACTGCTTAAGAAACCAGTTTTCAGCTGAATAATAAATCTTGGTTTATACGATACTCACGATAAAGCTAGTTACGAGAAAGCTTACCCTTCCGACAGGTCGAATCTGAGTCGACTTCTGATTGCGCCCAGCGGATCATTAGATTGAGTCTAACGATCATATTTAACAATTATCCACCGATGTGGAGGTGAACTGTGGTGGATATTTACCTCACCGCGACTTTCAACGACACTAAAGTGAATAATTTAGTATGTAACACTCAGATACCGATGTGGTCACTTACGGTTTGAATCGCAAAGTTTCAACTGCATACTGTAGGTCTTCACCAGGCGATAAGGTCGACAGGTTTCGGGTCTTCTTTTAAAGCAAGATGCTCCGCTGTGATCGGCGCGTTTCGATCCTTGATATTATTGAGTTGTTCCCTCGGCGGTCCGCTAACTACGGCTCTCCGGTTGTTGTGTTTTTAGATCGTGGGCATCCACAATGCAGGAATTTCTATTCCGCTGTCCCTGTTGATATATAACATTCTTAAAATTACCACAGTTTGTGTCTTCATGGTCAATTAAACCCTTAACTCCCAAGATCTGATTGTTAGTTCTACCCTCTAGCTGCTACTTGTTTCTTTGTAAATTAGTTACGAGAATTTAATGTTAGATCAAGAAAAAAATTTTACCTGATAAGTTTGGAAGACATAAGTTACATATTACATATTAATCACTTGTACGAGTTAAAGCGCTTAGCTACTGAAGGAAAATTCATTCAAATTTCAGTTTAAAATAGCATGTGACTTATGACCAGTCACTCAATTTTGAGACCTCTCCAAGCACTTTATTCATTTTGAAACCTTTTTGAAGTCTTAAATAAGTCCTGAAGAATCCATGACTTTTTACAACATGAAATTATTTAGATGAGTTTTCGAACATGAGAAGGATTTTTGACTATGTCAGTTTCTAGCTGGGATTATTGTAATTACGAGTCTGAATTGATCTGCTGACATGCCATTGTGGTAACAAAATTGAATGGAGGGGATATTCCCTTAGTAGCATCATTGCGAACATAGGGAATCTATATTTCATATTTAGTGATTCTGATCTGAAAAAAAGTGTATTTTAGATCACAACAACAGGATTAACAGAAATTTTTCCTAAAACGATAAGAAAATAAAACAGAAGGGGAAAAACTGTGAAGTAATAATAATAATAATAACAGTTTATTAAACTCTCTTGCAGTAACTCACGGAAATTAACGAGTTATAATACAATGAAAACTTACTAAGAACAACTATGTACATGTCTGTATATGTTAAGTACAAATTATACACACCACACCAGAACATGCATCACATAAATTTTATTAAAAATACTTAAAAATACTTAAAAGTGAAAAAGTCTTCGGTGCGCTTCGTTCAACAGGCAGTGACGTTCCTGTAAAACTACTGCTGATCTGATTTGTGCCTTAGGGTGTAGGTGTAGGTATTGTTAGGCGTATTGGTAGAAGAGGATGAAGAGGCAGGTTTAAGTCCTTCATTTTAGAAGTGATGGGATGTATCCCTCCTTAAGAGACTGGTTATAGACGTTTCGAATGATAGGGGCTAACTCGTGCGCAAAGTCTTTGAGCAGTTTATTTGGGATGTTGTCGGGTCCTTCGGCTTTTGCAATATTAAGCGACGACAGGGATCGAAACACTTCCTCGTTGGAGACAAAAAGTTCCTGTAGTAACAGGCTTGGGGGAGAATCACGGGTCAAAAGTGTAAAATGGTCTGTGAGACTTACAAAAAAGTCATTAATCTTATTTGCAAGTAATTTGGTATTTACGGTATCCCCAAGAAACTGATGGTACCACTCCTGCTGAATGTCTTGGCCTGTGAGTGACTTTATTTGCCTCCACCATTTACTGGAATTATTGGATTCCACTTGAGCAACTTTATCATGATAGTAGTGATTTTTAGCTTTTTTGACCCCGCCCTTGACCTTGTTCCTCCAAAATTTGTAATTCGAAGAGTCCTCTCCGTGTCTGAGAAATGCAGATTGTCTTTTACGAATCCAAAATTTCAGTTTTTTAGAGATCCAGAGACGGGCAGTTGGGTGTTTCTTAACTATTTTTCGTGGAAGGAAGGAATCAATAGCATAAGTAAGTTCCATCATCAACAGCCTGAACTTGTCTTCACAAGACTCAGTTTTAAGAACCTAGTACCAGTGCTTCTCGGTCATCCATCGCCCCAGCGCACGCCATGCACTATCGCGCATATCGCGTGACTCTATTTTCTTAATGACCGGTTTGTGGTCGGATGATATCATTGGTCTGGCCAAGATGGTATAATGATCAGATGATGCGACTTTGGGCAATTGCGAAACACTGAACAACTTTGGTCTATTTGTAAAAAACCAGTCCAGCGTGCCTGAGTCTCTAGTTTTGAAAGTTACAAGCTGCTTGAGATGGTTGGCTTGAGATACATCTTTTGACTTTAATCCTCTCGTGTGATGATTAAAGTCGCCGGTAATTATAACCAGGGCATTTGACTGGTCAGATAATAGCATGTCAAGATTTCTTTTCTTCTATATCACACCTAACACAATTGATGTAATTTGTCTTGGTAGACTATGCGGCCTCATTGATATCCAAATTGATTCGACTTCGTCTTGATTACAAGATTCTTGGAGTTTACATGGCACTTTGTGATCTAAATAAATACAGACCCCTCCTCCTGTAGTAATTCGATACTTGCGAAATAGATTGTAACCAAGGATAGAGACACAAGAATCTGGCACATTAGGCGACAGCCAAGTTTCAGTAATGCAAATAGTGCTTATAGAGTTGAGCTCCGCGATTTATTGAATCTCATCCACTTTGTTCGTCAATTCTCTCACATTTGTTGCCAGGATAACAGGTATATCATAAGATTTCTGATGTTTGACCTTCCTTAAGACGCTATAATTCACCGCTCTCCTTGGTTTATCAAATTCGCGGATGGTCACACTGCTTGTTCAGGGTGGTTTACCAAGTTCGCTACAAGTTATCCTACATGGAATTGGTCTTTGACTGGTATAAGGCTTCTCTCCTCGGGAACGCCGAGCACCACGGCATCTTAGAAGCCCGTTTACCTTAAGTCTCCCGAAACAAGTCCTGAATTTCTGGTCATGATCCTTTTGGGAACGAAGAGCAAATAATTCTTGTCGGCTATAAACCCTCTGAGTCGCAAATGATGACAAATAGGGGCTGTCCTCGTTGTTCGGTCTTTGCGGCCGTAAATTGACCAAGTTACTGGAGTCAGTCTGAGGCTTTGGAGGTACTGGGTCGGCATGAACGTACATAAATTCTGTAAGATCTTTAGGTGGAAGAAAGGCGCAAATAGAGCCACGCTTCCTCCATTCTACAACTGGTCTCTTCGGGGCGTTCGATAGGTTTTTGTTCAACCAAGTTTATTCAGCGCACTCAGCAGGGATTTTCACATGAAATAAATGACTATTTGTCGAGTTTAAATCCTTATCTCTCGATTTAACGTATACCTAAGGCAAAAATATCGATGAAACTAGTAGAAAGTAGAGTAAAATTAT